CCTTTCTGATTGGTGCTTCGTAGGTGCTTCCTAGTTTTAATTCTCTTCCATCTTTCAAATTTCCTGCTGCTCAGCTCAGCCTCTGCAGAGCTAGGTCACTCCAGGATTCTTAGAGCCATGCCTTGGAGTTCTCTCTGCATGAAAGGAGACTTGCCCATCCTATTTGCCACCGAGAGGCCCTGTTAACCCTTGGTAAATGTGTGCCCAACTGCACTGGATTGGGTCCGTACCAGCCATATCGCCATATTCCTCTCCCTCCCTCCCCCACTCTCTCCCTCCTTCCCTCCTTAAAACCTTTGATGACCTGTTCATTGTGGGCTCTGAAGCAGCTTGCATTGGAACCACAGGGGAGAAAATGTTCTTTCTGTGAAGAGAATCCTCAATCTTTCTGTTCTCCTATCTCTGAAAATAGGAGAAATGCTAGGCTTTTGAATGGTAGTGAGCTTACTGGTTAAGCAAATGGCCTTTGAGGCCAGAGTGCTTGGATTAAGTATTGTTCCATTACTTAGTGCTCCCCTGTTAATTTTGTTAAGCCTCAGTTTTCTCCTCTGTAAAGTGTGGCTGATAGTGTGCCTGCCTCGTGTACCTGTATCAAATGAGGATTAAATGAGATGTATGCCTAAAGACATAGTCCTTGACCTGCGGTTTGTCCTTGGGACAATTTAGCTGTCAGGACCGGTACTACTGTGGCCATGTCGGTGGGGAGAACAAAGGGGTTGAGAAGGCACTGGGCACGGTATTGAGGTTTTTCTTTGTGCATCTTGAGCAACCTGAACATCTAGCCCCTCAGAGGTACCCAAAGAGGCGTCCCTTCCTCGGGGATGTGCGGGTGGGGGAGGGAAGATGACCTCTGGGTGAGTTTGAGGAAAATAAGAGGCGGCCCTTTCTTTTTCCCGATGAGCTCATCACAGGGAGGGGAGCCACGAGAGCGGGAAATGCCCGGCCACCGCTGCTTCCAGAAGCCCGGGGCCTGGCCTCACATCTGTGCCAAGGAAGAGGAGGCTGGGGCTCAGGGACAGGGATGCGCCACCTGCTGTGGGGCGGGCGGGGTAGGGTGACATCCTGCTCTCCTCCTCCAAACCCCAGGGCAGGGCTTCCCATCCCCAGGAAGCGGCCCCATCAGCTTATCCTGGGGTGGGGTTTCCCAGAGCCCAGTGTGTAGAGTCAGGTCATTGTTCTGCAGTTCCGCTACGTTCTAATGACCGCCCCGCTGAGAACGCCTCCAAGAACCGAGCGAGGTGTTTTGAAACCAGAGTCAAAGGCAATGAAAGGAAGAGAACTATGGGGCACGTCTCAGTGCCTAGGCCTTCTGGGAGGAGACTCAGACAAGGAAGGGAGCTAAGATGTGGTGGGAACCAGGCCCTAACCCCATTCTTTTCAATCATGATCAAGCAAAATGATTTCACCATGGGTCTTTTACCCGTAAAATGGATTTAATATCATGTGGGCCCCGGGAAGAACCCTGGTCTTGGGAACCTGGTAATGTAGTCTCTTTGGGTCCCAGCGTCCCAGCGACCCTCTATGATACGTGGCACGTCCTTTCCTATCCCAGGTTCTCAGTTCTCTCCCTGGAACACAAGGGGCTGGGCCCCAGACTTCTTGCAGCTCTATGGCTGTGTCTAGGTCAAGGGGCAGATGGGGGATGAGGCAGAGGAGTGATGGGAAGGAGAATGAATAGCCAGGATAGATAAGAAGGTTGGATGCATCTGAGAAGGTTTTACCAAAATCCCTGGAAACAAAAGATACGCTTACAGCTGAGGAAGGCGTTGCTCTGTCCCCTGTTCCTCCTTACGCCAGGCTACCTAGGTCATCGTCTGGGATGTTTTCCTCTCTGGGCTGTTTGTGACTCAGCTCTTCTTAAGACAGCCCATTCCAGCCTGACCTTGGGAGGGGGTGAGGAACATGACCAGGAAAAGCCCAGGTAGAGCAGCTTTCTATCCTGATACAAAAGCAGCTTAGGCAGCAGCCTCAAGGCCCCTTCCGACTCTGGTTCCATTAAGGAAATAGGTTATGCCCCTTGCTTTGTGCCCGGGGGTGACTGAGGGGCCAGGTGGGCCTGAGGGTCAGGCCCATCCATGGATAGCCCTGTCTTCAAAGTGCTCAGGGTCTTCCCACCCAGACATTTTGTTTCTGGTGACCACACCTCCATGTGGTTACTATTTCTGGGTTTGCTGGCAAGTGTCCGGGGCCACCAGGTCTGGCCTGGCTCTGGAGGACAAGACAGGTCACACAGTCTGGTTGTTTCTTCAGGGTCTAGAGTGAATCCATTTGGAGGTGTGACTCTTTCCATTGCCCTCCACACCCTTTCCTTAGTGTTCCTCTTTTATCCTTCGAGCACTCTCTGCCCTTTCCCCACACACCCCTCTGAAGCCCCTGTCCCTCCAACCTGGATGCCACCAAATCACATTTCTCCTTTAGCAGACACTTGGGTGATGCCAGATATCAAGCCCAGTCCTGCCCACTAGTGCTTACAGGCTCATTGATAAGGGCTCTCTGAGGCAGCACTGGTGAGCAAACATCAGCAGGCAGACACACTTGGGGGCTCCCGTTGCTCAGGCCCTCATGAGCACTCCAATAAGCGAGGCTAATGGTCAGAGCTGTGCCTTCACAGCAGAGGGAGGAGCTGGACATGTTACTCTGTCCTGGAGCTAAGGCATCCTCTTCAAGGAGCTGCCACAGGAAGGTCAGGCTGAATCCTGACATGACCTGAGTATTTAACTTAGATGAACTTGAGTATCTAGTTCTAGCTAAACTGTTGACAGAAATAGAACAGAACATAGACATTTTGAAAGTACAAGCAATTCTGGTTGCCACTGTAATCTGCACATGTCGTCCGGTGTCAGACTACCAGTTGCTTCTGTGATGGCCGTCAACCTCTCCCCTCCTTTCTCGCTGGTCAAGATCCTATTTAGTGCTTTTGTTCATCGTCCAGGTGGCCGTTCGCTCAGAGAAGGCTGAGACCCTCCCCTACCCAGGGGGTAAATCTTGATTAATTAGCTCCGAGCCAATCCTTTTCCCACGTTCAGTTTGGGGATAGATTTATGCTTTGTTTTTGACCTGTGAGTCTTTGGGGGTCTGCTCGAGGAGGTGGGGAGGGTGCTTTTGTGAAAGGCATATTGACTCCTCCTTTTTCCTGCCTCTGGATGTTTTCATCACACATGGGACTGCTGTGTCCATTTTGAGACCACGGAGGAAAGTAAAAAATAACTTGCAGAGATCGAACTGAGGCCACGAAGCCACAGAGCCATTGAATTAACCACACTACCTTGGAACTTCTTCTGAGCCAGTCCTTTAAGCCTCCGTGAAATAGACCTTTTATTACCTGTGGCCAAAAGTATCCTAAATTATACGCCCCAGGGTGAAGATGACAAGGAAGGTGTTAATCTGTGGATTGCACACTCCATCACAGCTCCTTCTGTCTCTCAGAGTCCAGGTATCTCCAAACCCTGAAAAATTCTAGAGTTTCAAGATCCATATTTATTGTACAACACGTTCCTTAGTACAAGCCAACAGCATCATCTGATACTTTGCAGAAGAAATGATCTGTTCGGAGGCCAAAACAGAAAGTGATGCTTGGGGCTTTCTAAATTATGGGGCCATATTGTTCCGCATGGGAGACTGAAGGAACTTTCGCTGGCACGTGTGACTATGCAGGCGTATGTCCTTGTCTTTGAGATGTGAACCTTCATGAGATGCTCTGAGCACAATGGCAACAGAGACTGGCCCCAAAGAAGTAGAAAGTATGGCTCATTATAAATCGGTTGACAAGACAAGGTTTAAGTGGCAGAGTTGAATGAGAGGCTAGAATGGATTTCTGTAAAGAACTCTCTGCAATAGGAACTGGTTGATGGGAAAGGCAAGTCTGAGAGGGCTCCTCCTAAGGCTGGGCTTGGTTATGCTGCTGTAATAAACAGCCCCAACTCCTGTGGTTTGAAATAGTACAGGTTTTGTTCTCACTCATCCTGCATGGTCACTGTGTGTTGGCTGTGTCTCTGCTGTGCATTACCCCCACGCTGGCACTCAGGCTGATAGAATCACCACTATCTGGAACATTACCAGGCACGGAGGTAAAGGGGAAGGATGCTGGAAGGTCCTGCATTAGCAATTAAATGCTGTGACTCTCTCACATCAATGTTTCTCTCTGTGTGTCTTTCCCCTTCCCTTCTACTCTCTCTTAAAAAATAAAATAAAATAAAATGAAATGAAATAAAATAAAATAAAAATAAATGGAAACAAAATATTTTCGGGTGAGAATTAACAACAAAAAGGAGTTGGAGATGAGGATTGGTAAGATATGTACACATATAATACCTTAATAAAAATAAATAAATAAATAAAAATTTAAAAAAAGACTTGGAGAGAAATCATATATAGATTTTACAAGCGAGTGTGAAAGCTCAGTTATTTCCAGCAGGTGTGTGGCATGTGGGACAATAAATAACCTGGAATTGTTTCTTCGGGTGCTGAATTAGATTCGGATGTGCATGTTTTCGTGTTCTGGGATCCATTGTGAGCCCCAAGTAAGATGTCAGCATGAGACCTGGATTCTGAAGGAGTGCATTCCAACCTCTTCTTTAGGCTAAGAATAGAACGGTCTGTAAGATACAGGGTTTAAGCAATGGACTCCAGAGCTGGAGGTTAAGTAAAAACAAAGGAGGTGCTGATGGCCCACACTTCTGAAAGGAAACTTTCTCAGAAACTGCCAGGCAGGTAAAGTGTGGGTACCACTCCCAGGCAGGTAAGATGTGGGGGTACCACCCCCAGGCAGGTAAGGTGTGGGGTGCCACCTCCAGGCAGGTATCACCCCCAGGCAGGTAAGCTGTGGGGTACCACTGCCAGGCAGGTAAGCTGTGGGGTACCACTGCCAGGCAGGTAAGGTGCTAGTGATGAGCGTTGGTATCTTTTACAAGTCACATGGAATTAGAATCTGCAAATGACAAGTGTGTCTCTCCATGCCCTGCTTGCATTTGGCTCCAATGCCACTGTCTGTTATTTTCCAGGAGCCGGGTGGGAGAACGTGCTGCTGAAGGGCGACGAGGCAGCCTCCGAAGCCACAGAAGCATCCAGCGCAGACATGACAATCAAGGTAAGGCATCCTTCTCTGGTGTGACTCTTACAGCGCGTTTCTAGAGGAAAGCGAGCCAGTGGCAGACCTCTAGGGGGTAAAATGAGCTCGGGTCTCCACTCTTCCGCCACCTCTCTGTGCACTGAAGTTTCAGCAAGTGAGATTTCCTGAAATTTGGGGTGTGGATTAGGGAGTTGCCTGAAAGCTAGAATCCAAGATGTGATTTCCGATGAGCCCGTGGTAGGATCTCTGTATATAGATTGTCTGCAAGTGGTGACCCCGCCGGCACAGGGAAACGAATCCGAAAATTGTGAGCGGAGAAGCTGGGCCCTGCCGAGCATTGTGAAGAAAGGTCAGGGAGTTATCGAGTCGCTTTGATCCTGACTCAAGATTTCCACTGATGTCAGCGGGAAGGCAGCACATGGCTCAGGCCAGCTGGAACCCTCATGGCCAAAGGTTGACAAAATGAGTCATCTGGAATCCAACCTAATTATCACCGTTCAAATTAAGTGCATGCATTTGTAATCATTGTCTAGATTAAGGGCTTCATAGCAAAATTGATCAGACTCAACTACTTCCTCTCTATTACTTGATTGGACCCAGAGGAACAGTCCTCCTCTCTTGGAATTCTGGTCATGTTTAGTTAACAAAGGCTGGGGTGGGAGGGCTAACACTTTTGCTTGAATGATTAGAATTCAAGTATATGTCACTTACGAATTTTTCTTCATAAAACAAAAAGCGGTGTCCTTTTTTTATATTGAGATATAACTAGAAATATTTCATTCCTGGTTTTGCTGGTAGAGGTTGGACCAAAGAATATACAGGATGAATTTATTCACACTTTCCTTTGTATTGCGAAAGCTGAACTTATGTCATCTATGTTAAAAGTATGAGAACATGCAAACAAAAGTACCACAGTGGAATTAAATGAAAGAAGGGGCCTGATTGGTCAAAAAAGTCAACTACTAATCTAAGTATCCAGCACTAAAAGTTCCTTTGTTTGTAATCCTGTTTAGCAGACTTTGCAAGACAATAATATCCATTGCATTGATGTGTTGGTGTTTCCTTGGCTTTTATTGCAAAGATGAAGAAATTTCAGAAGTCTGTGGATAGGAGGGATGGGTGTTGATAGTAAAACTTGATGGATTTAACAGTACTATTTTAGAATATCATCCTTTTCAGAATTAGTTTCTTAGTGGTCATTTTAAGAATTCTTTTCTGTCATCATTTTAAGAATTAGTTCCATTTTAAGCATTATTTTTAGTTTCTGATCTTAAATGTAGTGAAGGTAGTTAAAGGGCCAGAAAGACTGGGGTTTGTTTAATAAATGCAAATGGCATCATCAAATAGAAGCAAGTTTTACTCGAGTTCCATTTTATGAGATTGCTACTTAGTTCGTCTACTGATCCTTAGTACCAGGATCTTGGCTGAAGTTTTATTTCGTCTACCCAATTTAGCTGTCATTCTCATTTCCTTTGCTTTTCTTTTTCTTTTTTTTAAATTTCATTTTATTGTTGATGATATTACAGATGTTCCCCAATTTTCTTTCTCTTTACCTTCTCCTCCCTGCCTCTGCCCCACCCCAGGCTTTCCCCACACTATTGTCTGTGTCCATTGGTTCTGCACATACTAATATGTGGAATTTTCTTTAATAAGAACAGAGGATTTTTAGCTCACAGGAACCTAACCAAACCCACTGTGAAGAATGAACACCGTACATTTTAACAAGTTCGGCAAAATAGAAATATATTTAAGTATCCTAATAAATTTGTACAAATATGATTAGTTCCTCTATCCATGCCAGTCTCTTCTCGCTGAAGGATGTGTGAAACCTCTAGGTGGCTATACCTTAGGGAGACACTTCTGTTTAGTTCTTCTCCATTAGGCTTCCCAATTAATCTGCAGTCATCATTTTTTTCCCCATGGTTGTCATGCTGTTCCCCACCCCACACTGCTTTCAGTATCCACCCTGTTCTTCTGTCCATCTTACAGATCTATTTTCTCTGTTTCTAAAAGTGTCCGATGTTCATTAATTAACTATAGGCTTCTCATTATGTATTTATGTATCTGCAGCTATTCCTATTCTTAATAGCTACTTCAGATATGCTTACAATATCAGCCATTCATTCCTGATGTATTCCTTTGCCCTGGAAAAACAAAACGTTCTGTTCAAACGTGAATTACAATGAAACCTGATTCACTGACACTTCCCAGAGGGAATGGCAGCAGAAATCACTGACGTAGTTCAGTTTCCTCCATCTTTCTCCTCTTGTGCTTAAAAATTTCCCTTCTGAAAAAGGTGCAAAAATTTTTGCAATGCTGTAATTGTCTGAATGTTGTTGTTTTTTTTACTTTTACATGTAGCCTTTTAACATCATATCTTATTTTGAAATGACAGAGTCATGCTTCTAAAAATATACGTGACTCAGATGAGTGGATCGGTCCATAAACACACATGTGTCATTCTGAGGAACCTTGAGTAAGAGCATTCACATTAAAAAACGCCCTCTGAATGTACTGATGTAATGAAGTCAGAGCATCAGATGGGCCTGAGGAATAGTTTTAAATCACTCAGAATAACAGGTAGAATTGTGAACCTTCCTCCCCAAAAATGATATGTCCAAGTCCTAAACCCTGATACCGTTGAATGTGGCCTTACTGGGAAAAGGGTCTTTGCAGATGGAATCAAGTTAAGGTTCTCAAGATGAGATCATCCTGGGTTAACCAGGTAGGACCTAAGTCCATTGACACATGTCCTCATAGGAGACAGAAGAAGAAACTCACATGGAAGAGGCCATGTGAAGAGACAGGGGCCGAGGTTGGAGTTACGTGCAGGCTAAGCCACAGGACACACGGAGCCACCAGAGCTGGAGGACGCAGGAGGTCCTCCAATAGAGCCTTGGGAGGCAGCATGCCAGCACCTTGATTTTGGGTTTCTGCCTCCAGAATTGTGAGGAAATGAATTTCTGTTGTCTGAAAACATCAGGTTTGTGGTTATCTGTTATGACAATCACAGGAAACTAATACACTCAGATCTACAAAGATCCAACTGCAACCTGGGCTTGTATCCTGACTGGGAACCAATCGAACCAGTGACATTTAGGTGCACAGAATGATGCTCAACCAACTGAACCACACCAGCCAGGGAGCATGTTACATTTTTGTACTGTGGTAAAATTTACATGACATAAAATTTACCGGTTTAATCAATTCTAAGTGTGCAGCAGTTCTGTAGTGTTTATATCATTCATCTGTTTTACAACCATCATCACCATCCATCTCCAGAACTTTTCCATCATCCCAAACTGAAACTCTGCTCCTTAAACACTAATTCCTAATCCTCTCCTCCTTCCCATTAAACACTAAATCCCTATTACCTCTTCCCTCCAGATCTGGGCAACCACCAAAGTGGTATGTTTTATATGCAGTAATCTCTAATTGTCTTCTCAAAGGGATTTTAAACACATCCTGTTAATAACAACCAGCCTGTGAGATGACTAAACTTCAACTGAGCATGTTAATATCCTCTGGGCAAGGCAAGCTTTACATACAAGTAGTATTCCAAAGCCTGGTAAGCTGCAGAGTGCTACAAGAATTTGCCAGTCACCGAGCTTCCTCTCTTCTGGGGAGTGTTGATCTGCCCAGTGCCAACGTCCTGGAAGTGTCTTGGTTTTATTCACCTGTGTGGCTTTGCATTGTTTTCTTAGATTTCCTTTATTTGGTAACTGTTCAAAGCTACATCAATCTATGTGTGGGCGAAAGAGGCCACATACTAACCCTGACAAGCTCAGGGGAGGCCTGTGTGGTGCAAACTCAGAGACCTAAAGGAGCCACAAAGGATGGTCTGAAATTAAACGTTTTTAACTAAATGCAGTTTATGGTGGGTAGCCATAGGTTTGTATCTTTCCTGACGAAGGTCAATCTTTACCTTCCCTGAGCTTATCTGTTATCTTTTTGCATCTATGATAACATGTCTTTGGAATGTCAAAGTAGTTTTCCTTTTTTCCGATCCCTCAAAGCTCCTGTGAAGACCACAAATCCCCTCATTGTTATTGAGTTAATTGGTGACTTTATCTATCCTATACCCACCTAAGTGAAAGAAGTATGTGGCTTTCTCCCACCTCCCTAATCTATCACCAGTGGATTTCAAGTAACCCCCTTAGATCTCCCATTTTGGTTGTAATGTTTAAAACAAGGTGCAAAACTGCCTTTCTCAGAGCATTATCTCAACCCATTCAGATTTTGCTTCCTGGCAGTTGTCGACAGTTTCTCAAATAAACTCATAAACATTCTTTATGGGGTTGAATACATCTTACATTGACACATGTTAAACCTACATCAGTGTATGTTAAAGAAATATCTCCTGGGTAGAACTTATGTGATTTGGCTGCTGTTTTAATCAAATACACCAACTACATCCCAAATGTTATCTTTACCTTGCCCCTTTATCTTATATAAAGAGACTAAAAACCATTAGCAAAAAGGAGCACAGAAAATTCTAGTACACTAGAACTTTTCTCAGAAAGAAGCCTTGTATTTATTCACATTGTTACAACTGAGGCATACTGAATATTTTCAGAGTTGAGGGGGGGATGTAAAACCTTTTTCTTTCCAAAACTTCTTCACATTCTGGGTTACCCGCTTTCTTTTTCTCCCACCTTCCAGGAAAGGCTGTTTGGTACAGAGGGAACAGGCATAGAGACTTCTGTTTGCTGTGGAGGCCACAGAGATGTCTTCTGTGGAGGCCACTTTTCCAAAGTCAGCATAGAAGCAGGAAATGAATTGTCATCAAATGACCCTCAAAGATCCTTCCAGACTTGAAGCCCTTGGCAATACAGAGCCAGTTTGGAGAGCTGCGGGCCAATATTTGTATGTTAGCAGCAGCTTCCTATCTGAATCCTGACCTTCTTACTTTTGTTTTTCTTAACGTCCTTCCATTAAGAAGCAGTTTGTTGGCGGGGAAGCATGTGGAGAGAAAATGCAGAGTGAAGGGAGGCCGCAGTTATGACTGATGGTTGCAG